TTGTTCTGGGATTGTGTGAGATGTAAAAAGTTGCAAAATGAAAAGTTGAGGATATTTTTAAATGTTACTGTGTGCTTTTCTTTCCCAACATATAAGTTTCCTTTATTGATTGGAAACTGTTCCAATTATCTTGCAGGATATAATAGCCCATCTATTGAAGTTTTCTGAGTACAATTTGTTACTAAGGTTTGTCCTGTTTTGTTGTATTAATAATGTGTGCAATAAAACAGTGTCAACCCTGTCCTGTTGGTACATAATACAATGGCAGAAATGGATCTACTGAGTTACAAATTTTGTGTTCTTTATACAGGGGAAAGTATGGTACATATGATGGTCAGATAAACTTTGTTTGGATTAATTAGACTGAACATAAGCTTTGAAAGAAGAATCCACTGGAGGGACATCCTATATATACTAATGTATGAAAGAATTGATGATATTGATTGGAATTCCAGTTTTTCTGTCCTTTTCTTGTATGTAACTGTTGAGAATTGAATCTATACTAAATATCCTAGAGAAACTTCAACATATAGAATTATTTTGAACAAATAATATTCTATGAATTAACATATTCACAAGACATGTGAAGAGCAAAATTCTTGGTTATGATGTTTGACAACTTGAACTTGATGACAAGTGAAGCAGATTTTGATACCCCCATATGCTAAGTTTTAAAAATTTTCTGATTACTTTTTGTTTGAATTGTTGTATTTATAAACCATGATAGATGGAAAACCCAAGTTTTAACCAATAAAGTGTCATTCATTCAAGTTAATCTTCAAAGAAATCTATAAACCAAGTTTGGTGAAGATACATTAATGCTTGTGTTATCATGCACATAAGCCATGACAGACCATCAAAGTGTACATCTGCCTCATGTTTCACAGTCCTTTGTGAAAGTACTAGATGGGCATTCTTGATTTTAAAAATTATTGACCATTGGATCTCATAATCTTGAACTAAATATAAAGCACTGAAACTATTTTTTCTTATTAGACATAACTTGACCTTGACTTCTGATCTTTATGCCCCAAAATTTATTGTTTTTTTTACTACCCTATGTGCAAGCCATCCACAAAATTTGGTGCTAAAACCATGACCTTTGACCTTTTGACACCCTAATCACCAGACCTCTCCATGCCGTAAGTGCCTGCTATAAGCAAACTTTTGTCATGGTACAAAGTCAAAAACAAGAGCTACTGTACTAAAATATTTTCTTTTTCAGTCTCAGTAACCTTAATCAATGACCTTTGACTACCAAATCAGTAAGTCTATTTCTTACCAAAGAATTGGCAACTCATGATCTTTAGTGAAGATATTTGGTCAAGAACTTAAGATATTTTACATTTAGTGAAGGTATTTGGTCCAGAACTTAAGATGTTTTACATTCAGTGAAGGTATTTGGTCAAGAACTTAAGATGTTTCACATTTAGTGAAGGTATTTGGTCGAGAACTTAAGATGTTTCACAGATACCATTCTCATCTTTTAGCCAGTGACCATGACATTTTGCATTCTGTATTGAAATTCAATAGACTTTTATCCTTACTCCATGAGCAAACCAGTAAAAAATAATTTAGTTCAGATCTCTGATATACTGCTAATGTTAAGGTGCATAAAGAACTTATTCTCTTTCTGTTACAGTAATTTTGACTATTAACCCTTTAATCCCAAACCATATAGGCTTCTATCTTAACCCAAGTGAACATCATCTACAAACTTTGTCAAGATCTCTGATGCAAAACTGATGTATATGTTCAGAAACAATTTTTCTCCTTTCAGTTACCATGACCTTGTCCTTGGAAGTCATATCTTTAATTCTTCTAGCTAAATATTACATCAATCAAAATTTTAAATAAAAGCTTTAAGTCCAAACCTTTCACTGAAAGAGTAAAACTTTTAAGATGGGCACCTCAGTGGCTGCCATGTTGAAGAGCAGATGGTCACCATTTTTTGAGGGGCATGTACACATGGTTGCCATGGTTTCCATCTTGAAAATCTTGTTATTACTCTTCCAGAACATTTTTATCAATACTACTCATGAATGAAATGTTTTTACTGAAAAACTTCATACAATGTTGGAGGTCATTATGTCAGTACAATGATCCATTCATAATGAGTAACAAAACAGAACATGGTCACAGTTAAAGCCTTTTGGAGATAGATCAGCATTATTTTATTTATAACCACCATTGTATCATTCTAAATTCCATATCAATATTAGTCTTCATAATGGAGTAGAGAAAGGTAAGTTTCAAGATGGTTGCTAAGGTGGCTATACTGCATGTCCAAATAACACCACTTTCATTTAAGATCATCTAGATTTCAAAATGAAACCTACATGCGAAGTTTCATGACTTTTCTCTATGGTTTTAAAAGGAGTAGCAATAACAAACATTTGCAAATGGATGACAAAAGCTGGATGCCAGATAATTGAAACAGGAACATGATATAAACTCTTCTTTCCTTCAACCAGTTAAATTAAACACTGAAACATTTTCACTGAGATTTTTTAGCACTCCAGATTCATTTTTCATTCCTCTCCAGTTGCAAAAATATCTAATTTACTCAATTTTATACAAGAACGGATTTGTTCACTTGCTTGAATTAAAAAAACTGATTAATATTGGAAACACTGAAGCAAATTAAATAAATCTTTAATTCCTAAATTTCAGTGTGTAGAAAATTAAGCATTAAGTTTTTAAGTTTGATGAATGCTACAAAAAAACTAATTTACATTTTTCTACTCAAGTTTCCAAGATTGAATAATAAATTTAATTCCAGATGGCAGTAGCAACTTAAGTTGCTTGGCAAACTTTAGGGTGCCATTAGTTTCTCTAATTCTTTTTCTTTCTTAAATATTTTCTTGGGACTGCATTTCTAGCAAGAAAAGAAAAAAATAAATTTTACTTATGTAATTAGCAATAAATAAATTAGTTAAACTCAACATCTGTATATGATAGCTACAATTGCATAAAGGCCTGAAGCACCTGTATATAAATACTATGTGCTTGCAAAGGCCATGTAACCTCTAGATTGTACCCAGCATGCTTGTTATACACAGCAGTTTTGACTGTATGTATGAATGTATGTACATGTATGTGCATATATATAATGAAAAACTGAATATATGTATATGATGTAAGATTTTGATATCTATCATTCTGCATTGTATGACTAGATAATGATTGCAGCTCCAGAGTAATGATTTCAAAACCAAACTAACATGAATTTAGCAAAATAATGTGAAAATGCTTTTACACATGGGTTTTAAGAGGGAATCTAGACGGCTTTCACAATGAACATCATGACATTTAGGTACCATTGAACAAACTGTAACATAATAGTTGAACAGGTTACATAAATTGGGTCATTTGCAATTTCTCATTAAAACTCATTTCATGACCTTAAATGATATTTAATTATTTAATACTGTTCAAGTTAAGTTAACAGGGTTTCATATTTATAATGCAGCTTTTATTTTTTGCAGGTATATCTTTTAACTGTGTATAATCAGGGATTAGATTTAATATTGAAGCTGGGAAAAATTCTTCTGTGAAACTAGACTTGTAATATCTCACAGCAGGTCCCAACAATGCCCCTCACATTCATAAACAAATTCTCTTGAATATGTCTACTCAATCCTGAATCAGGTCTGAATGTGTGTTACTCTCAGTCATCTGTCATGGGATCAATATAATTTTGACTGAGTTCTGTTCCCGCTTTGAGACTTTCTTTACGAATAATATACTCAGTGTGTAAGCAACTACTCAAAAACATTGGTGTTCTTTGCCAAAACATGTACACACACAGTGACTGACTAGGTACTAATGACACATTTCATATATAAAATTATTTTTTTCACTTGCAAAAAACCCCCAATATATCAAACAAAATTAGTGCATGAAAGCATTGACAAATTAATGCAATTATTATTTATCATCTTCTTGTACTGAATGTAAGGCATTATGATACATTGTGTCATCACACTAAGATGGCATCAAATGTAAGGAATTATGGTACATTGCATCATTACACAAAGATAGCATCAAATGTAAGGAATTATGGTACATTGTGTCAATACACAATAATGACATCAAATGTAAGGAATTATGATACATTGTGTCATCACACTAAGATGGCATAAAATGTAAGGCATTATGATACATTGTGTCATTACATGAAGATGACATCAAATGTAAGGCATCACGGTACATTGTTTCATTACATAAAGATGGTATCAAATGTAAGGCATTATGATACATTGTGTCATTACACAAAGATGAAATAAAAATTAAGGCATTATGATACATTGTGTCATTACATGAAGATGACATCAAATGTAAGGCATCATGATACATTATTTCATTACACAAAGATGGTATCAAATGTAAGGCATTATGATACATTGTGTCATCACACTAAGATGGCATCAAATGTAAGGAATTATGGTACATTGCATCATTACACAAAGATAGCATCAAATGTAAGGAATTATGGTACATTGTGTCAATACACAATAATGACATCAAATGTAAGGAATTATGATACATTGTGTCATCACACTAAGATGGCATAAAATGTAAGGCATTATGATACATTGTGTCATTACATGAAGATGACATCAAATGTAAGGCATCACGGTACATTGTTTCATTACATAAAGATGGTATCAAATGTAAGGCATTATGATACATTGTGTCATTACACAAAGATGAAATAAAAATTAAGGCATTATGATACATTGTGTCATTACATGAAGATGACATCAAATGTAAGGCATCATGATACATTATTTCATTACACAAAGATGGTATCAAATGTAAGGCATTATGATACATTGTGTCATTACATGAAGATGACATAAAGTTAAGGCATTATGATACATTGTGTCATTACACAAAGATAACATCAAATGTAAGGCATGTATCTAATACATTGTGTTATTACACAAAGATGGCATTGAATGGAAGGCATTATGATACATTGTATATAACATAACCACTCTGGTGGCATAGTGGTTTGAGCATCCGCCTCGGATGCAGGAGGTCATGGGTTTGATCCCCGGTCAAGTAATACCAAAGACTTACAAAAATGGTACTAACAGCTGCCTCACTTGGTGCTCAGCATTAAGAAATTAGTGTTAGGACTGGTCGGCCTGGTGTCAGGATAATGTGACTGGGTGGGACATCATGCTAATTGTCTGTGGCATGATGCTCCAGTGCTAGACATCACTATAAACTGCCACACTGCAGACATCATAATGATATGACTGAAAAATTGTTAAAAGCTACATTAAAAATCATAAACACCAACACCATTACACAAAGATGGCATTGTATGTAAGGCCATATGATACATTGTGTCATTAAACAAAGATGGCATAAAATGTAAGGCATTATGATACACTATGTCATTACACAAAAATAACATCAAATGTAAGGCATGTATCTGATACATAGTGTCATTACACAAAGATGGCATTGAATGGAAGGCATTGTGATGTATTGTTTTATTACACAAAGATGGCATTGAATGGAAGGCATTGTGATGCATTGTTTCATTACACAAAGATGGCATTGAATGGAAGGCATTGTGATGCATTGTTTCATTACACAAAGATGGCATTGAATGGAAGGCATTGTGATGCATTGTTTCATTACACAAAGATGGCATTGAATGGAAGGCATTGTGAATCATTGTTTCATTACACAAAGATGGCATTGAATGGAAGACATTGTGATACATTGTTTCATTACACAAAAATGACATTGAATGGAAGGCATTGTGATGCATTGTTTCATTACACAAAGATGGCATTGAATGGAAGGCATTGTGATACATTGTTTTATTACACAAAGATGACAACAAAATTTAACAAATAGTGTACCATAGAGCTAATAAGGTAATGGGCAAGATATCCTGTCCATGTAATGTCTTCATTAGCTCAGTGACTGAGTACTGCTTCTTCCCCATCCTTTATCATTTCTTTCATGTTTAACATGTGGTAATAAGTGGCATTTTGGCAATGAATGGTAACACAATTTTCTTGGCAACTGCAACCCTATCTGATAACAATGGCCACACTTCTAAAATTGACCTGTTTTTTTTGTCCTATTAAAATGACTATATGGTCAGATTAATTATCATTGACTCCCTCCACACTGTTGAAATCTTTATTCTTAGGGTTATCATAAAAATGTCTTGAACTTTCCTCATTACCTATATTATGTATAATGTATAGCATTATCATCAGATACTAACAAGGGATAAAACGTTTGAACAAAAAAAAATTTAAAAATAAAAACATAATATACTATGCAGTTAATAATTCTTTCTTTTTTTATATTTTTTTTATATTCTCCAAAATGTATAAACAATAAATTGTTAATGTAAAAAGTCAGATAATATTTTTGATGACAACTCATTAGATGAAGAAGATAATACTGACTGACATACTATAACTGACCTGAATGTGACTGCTAAAACTACTTGCTAAAACAAAATCACAAATGTTTATATTCAATGATCATTAAATATTTTACCTACATTATATAGTTACTTTGGCTTGCAATACTAAAATATATTTTAAAATTATATCTTTTTTTTCTTTTTCTTTTAGAATTAAACCATCTAATTGAAAAGATTGACTATAAATACTACTACTACCACCACTACTACTTGTAATAATAATAAAAAAACAATAACAACAACAACAACAACAACAATAATAATAATAATAATAATAATAATAATAATAATAATAATAATAATAATAATAATAATAATAATAATAATAATAATAATAATAAATAATATTAATAATAGTAATACAGGGTAGCACACTAAGTACAGTGCCTGCTCACCTATGATGTAGTCTTTGGTAAAAATAAAAGATAACAAATAGAAACCTAAATAAAGACAAATTTAAATCAGGTTGAATTAAAAACAAATACACATGAAGTAATATTATTTTCTATTTAAATAAAGTATGGTTTACACAAGAAAATGATTATTGTGTATCTAATTATTTTAATAATAATAATAATAATAATAATAATAATAATAATAATAATAATAATAATAATAATAATAATAATAATAATAATACTTTTATCTCTGTCATAAGTTCACAGACAAAGTATTAGCATTGATATGTAAGATATGATACCATAAAAATATAAATACATTTTAAATTGTATCATACACATTAATAAAATATAACACATGCATAGGCAATTTATTTAATTCCTGGAGAGATGTATTATTTTTAAAATCATTTTTGAAGTCTGTGACATTTTAAAACTGTCTTTACATGTGGTAAACTTTATTTCCATAGAACTGTATCTATGGATTGGACATTTTTAGTAAATTTTTAGATTTGGGTTGACTGTGGTAAAGATTGCCAGCTTCTGCTAATCTTAAATGATAGTGTGTGGGTGTTCTTGGTTATCTTTTGGTGCAATTCCATTCAGGCACTTTTTATACAAGGACTGCCCTTTGTAGATCAATCATTTGGTAAATAATCTGCCATATAAGTACAGCATTTATGCTTAAAGATGTCAAGGAATATATTGAAAATGAGGTGATGACCATTTTTGGGATTTATCACAACTGCCTATTTTAGATGCTGCCATTTTCCCCATACTGCAAAATAATAATCCACAATTCGGAGTTTATAAGAACTACAGTATATGAAAGTACTATGATGTAAGAGACAGATTTCTTTGTGAGATATTATTCAATTTTATTCAGTAACTCAGTTTTTGAGGACAACACGTTTCACATGAAGCAGAGTGGTTTAAAAGTACTGGCCTTGCCTTTATGTATCAACACCATCTCACCTCTATCTGAACAGGCTTGAGTCTCATTTCAGCCATTATGTGTATGTGAGAAAACTACCTGTAACTTTCCAATTGCCAGTGGTTCTTATCATGGGGTTACCTGGGTTCTTGCTCCACCAGCTATGGCAAAGCATGTATGTATAGTATGTCATGCCCTGAAAAATGGTATCAAACCCTAAACAACAAAAACGTCAATATCACATTTAGTTCACATGATGATTGCAGTATATTTAGACCCTCAAAAGCGTCTCACATTCAATATTTTTAAAATATGGTCCATTAAATGTATGAAAAACTTTGCAATTACAAGGTTTTTTAAAGTCAATGTGATATTTCCAAGTTAATACTTAGTTTTATCATCACAAATAATTTACTTTCGCTCTGAGTTACTTTTAACTTTGTGAAGGCCAGCATTTAGTTTGTTCTGAGGCTTGAGGAATGAATAGTTGCATCATCTGCAAACAAATTTGCATTTGTGAAATCAGTGCTCAAAGAAGGTCAATTACAATGATTACAAAGAGAATAGGACTTATGACAGATTCCTGATACACTCCTCCTTGAACAGTGAGCAACTTAATAATGACCTGTTGACAACATTGGGTATGTTGCAAATAGAGTCATTTTAATGACAGGTGGTCAGACTTGTAACACTACAACTCTGCTAAAGAATTTTATGGTCCACCATGTCAAATGACTTCTTGAAATAAAAAGAATATGATCTCTGTTACTATAGTTTTTATCCATTTCTCTCTGCCATGACTTTCATGACTTTGTGTCATAGGATAAAAGAATGTTACCTGAAGTCTGATTGAATCCTGTAGAACAGAGTTGAAATTTCAAATAAATCATACATTTGTTGAAATATTCAATTTTCAACAAAGTTTGAGGTTTTGGGAAAATAATTTTGTTTGGTCATACTGGTTCCCAGGGAGATTTTTTGCATCCAGGTTTCTGGAGAAGTAGCACCCATTATACTTAGGTTAATTATGTGTGTTAAAAATCTTTTCATAATTTCTGTAGTAAACTCAAGAGTTCTAGGACCAATGTTATCCAAGCAAAGAGATTCATTACATCAAATTAAATAATACTTCTTAATGAAAATTGTCAATCCCAAGATTTGACTGGTTTGGCATTAAAATCAACATTGGCAGTGGTAGAGGTATTATATGTATGTGAGTAGTGACAAAAGATTTCTACAAAGAACTTCTTGAACATTTTGGCAATAGCATTAAGAAATGTTTCTGTTTCATCACTAAGTTTAGAATGCAGTAAGTTTTTGGGATTGACATGTAGGTTTTTTTTTAATTCTAATGCATTAAACTTTTTAAATTTTGTCAGTATATTGCCTGTAGTAATTCTTTTTTAATCACATCAAGTACCTGTGTGACTTTCATGGATTTTTGCAAGAAGAATGGTATCTAGGGATATTTTTATGTACATTTGTATACATATTGCAAAATTTCCAGGAACATTTTCTATTTCATGCAAGAAATTATTATGAAAAATTTGTCTTAACTGTTTAATTAAACTCTTACCTTGGTTCAGTCAAAGTCATGGAGTAATTTCCAAATTCAAGCACTACTGCAGTAGAAGGAAATTAACTGGTTAAAATTTAAATAGAGCAAACAAGGACCTACCAAAATTGAATGATGATCACTGTAATTTAATTTCAATTTTTATGTAGGATATTACCTCCAATGTGCAACATTGCAACACCAGATGTTGGTCTTAGTAATGTCCACAGATTGCATTTATCACAAAGTGATGCAATAGAATGATTCAATATGGATGCAGATTAAGGTTCATGTTCCTAGTCGTTACACATTCATAGGCCATGGGCTACAAAATCGGGCAAAGCAGTTATATGTTCTTAATTAGTTCTAATTGCTTATAGTACAATAATTACTTTATGGTAATTGTTAATTGTTAACATGTAAAATGCCTTCACAATCTTAGTGGTCACTGATCTAGGGTGAATAACTTTAATATTTCAAGTACATATTTTAGGGGTCAATTAAAAACTGAACTTGAATGTTTTGCAGTAAAGTTTTTGAAAATAAATTTGAAAAACCAGATTATTTGTTCTAGTGGCAGTTGATTAAATATATTTTATCTACTGTAATTACTATACTGTCATGTAGGTATTACTCACTGTCAAAACTATTTACAATGTGTGGTTTCTTCTGTAATTATTTGAAGTTATGTGGCAAAATTACATAGTACAACATCTCC